AAAATCTATATTTCAATATTTTCTTTTCAAGATAGCCTGCTATTTATAAGTTTTTTTTCATGAATAGAAACAACATTATTAATTAGATTTCTTTTTCCCATTGTTTTATTGAGTACATTTTTCGTCGACAAATCTATTGATATTCAATCTATTTTGATTAGAATCGAAAGTATACAATAAACTGCGATAAAATTGTTTTGTATTGTTTTCAACAAGAACAGTTATCATTAAAAATTGTTTTCATATAAATTCATAAATACTTAAGTATGAGGAGCAAGTAGTCGACGAATAGATTCATTGTTTTTACACCTAAACAAAAAAAAGTAAATTCACAAAAAGTGATCATTTATTATTATGGTACAAATATACCCAGCAATGAATTCTCCCTTGCTCAATTTCTTGTCATTATTAGCATCAAATTCTGCTATAATTTCTGTAGCAAGTCTTTTTGGATCATTATTACCTTCACGATCAGTTTTACCAACAAGATCATACTGAAAGTAAGAAATTTAATTTCTTTGAACATGATGATAAAACTAAAATTTACCATAGCTGTGATTATTGTAGTCAATTCCTTTTGATCGATTACTCCATTATGTGAAAAATCATACCTGTATGAAAACAAAATAAATAAAAAAAATGCATAGAAAATAGAATGAACACACATATCAAAAACAGTGCCAAGACGAGCATCAAGATCACCTTGACTAGTAGCTGCAATGGCTAACAAAAATTCTTGAAAGTCAATTGTACCATCATTATTGGTATCGAATGTATTAAATGCGTATCTAAATATTAAGAATAAGTTTCATACATCTATAGATTGGATGATTATTTCAAATAAACTCCTACTTGCAATAGTTATCTGCTTTTCCATTGGGATAAAATTGTTTATAGAATTCAATAAACTTTTTTTTATCGATTCCACCAGTTGGACAATCGCGAGTGAAACTCTAACATAAAACAAATCAGCAGATATATTTTTACGAGAGAAGATGAAATTTTTTCGAACAAACCACATGCCACTCTCGAATTTCTAAACAATAACAGAAAACAAGTATATCTTTATATTGATAGTATATTATTCAGAATATGTTTACCGTTTTCAGTAAATTTCGTATTTGTTGTGAGCATAATCATTTCTAAAAATTGAAACATTAGCAAAGTATTATCTAGTGAATTTCTTGTAAAAAGATAACGAACCTTCCTTTGTAAGTTCAGTTGATATGGGTTTCTTAGGTTGTTTATTACCCATGATTGTTGATAATTATCAATAAATAGTAAACGAAATGTTTTTTATCGAAAACCTTGTATATTTTATGTTTTATACCTTGTGACTGTACGTCGATTAAATGTTTTGTATCATCAAATATGTAATGACTCTAATGGGGTGTGGAGAGAAAAGAGAAGGTATAACATTTTGCCTTAAATGCATGTATAGAAACAGAAATGTATGTAAGTGAAACAAATAGAGAAACAGGTAACCACGCTGATAGATGAGTGAATCATATATTTTAATAGTTTTCAGCAGTTACTTCCTATTTTCAAACAGGAATAATATCAAGTTCAAGTAAAAAAATTGTTTTAAATTGTCGCTTTATCTTAACTTGACAGCTTTATTAGTTTTGAGGTAAAACAAATAAATTTGATAGCTAACTTTTAAAGATTTCATAATTGAGAGCAGGCATACAAAATAAACCCTTTGAAAAACTTTCAAACCTAAAACATCCAATTTTTGAACTGCTATTTGTTGACTATCCGAAATCCGAATGGATCCCAGCTCAATAAAATAGAGACAAAAAACTATATTACCATGGTTTTGTAATGGAACTCTATTGGTTCTGAAGGAGACTTAAATCTAAGAAAAATAAATAGACCAGCAGTTAATTTGAATAGTATTTATTCGATCCTTTTTACTTTGTTCTAATCTCTTATTCTCAAAATGTTTTAGATTGTGTATTGCATATGCAGCAATTACGCGTATCATAAAAAATGTTCTGTTTTAATGATGATTACCATATAACAAAGGAATGTTATGACAACGATCTGTTTCTTTGTATGTTAGACTCTGTTGAAATATTTGTTGACAACGAGATAGACTTCACGAAGCATTTTGCACGTTTATGCATGATTTCTGTTTTCCTTAAAACTGATATTTTGACAAAATTCAACGTAACTGGTTACTTATCGTACTTGAAG